TAGTAACTGTAAAATGTCAATTAGTAACTGTAAAATGTCAATTAGTAACTGTAAAAGGTAAATTAGTAACTGTAAAATGTAAATTAGTAACTCTAAAAGGTAAATTAGTAACTAAAACGTAAATTAGTAACTGTAAAATGTCAATTAGTAACTGTAAAAGGTAAATTAGTAACTAAAAGGTAAATTAGTAACTGTAAAATGTGAATTAGTAACTGTAAAAGGTAAATTAGTAACTAAAAGGTAAATTAGTAACTATAAAATGTGAATTAGTAACTGTAAAAGGTAAATTAGTAACTAAAAGGTAAATTAGTGACTGTAAAATGTGAATTAGTAACTGTAAAAGGTAAATTAGTAACTAAAAGGTAAATTAGTAACTGTAAAAGGATGGATGTTTTTGCATGTGTTTGTGTATCTGGCAGCAAAATTAACCACTCAATGATTTTTAATTTTATTCAGAATGTGTGGTTGCCCATCTACAACTGGCTGACTTTTGGAGTTAGCTGGTTTCATGATGTCCTCCATAGCTAACTGAACTTAAAAACAAAATATTTTTATATTGAACGTTTTTTGAAATACAAATTATAGCTACAACAACTCAGTCAGTTTTACAGATATTGAGCTAGAATTTAAAGTGGTAGTAACAGGTAAGACTCCAACACATTCTTGAGCACTAACTAATGTCACTTTACTGATAACGGTAATGGGCCCAACACTAGCCTCACATGCTCGTACTTGTACTTTTACTCATAAAAACACCCTTTACTTTGGACCATTGCCACTTCTATGCTTGGTGATGTAATTTTCTCTTCTACTGAGAAATTAGGACAACTGAGGACCAAAAAAATAAAAAATGTTTGTAGTTTAGAAATATTTTCAGATATTACAAGTCACTGTGTAATGTTGCAAACTAATACATTTATAATGCAAACAACTTTCTGCTTCACTGTCACACACAGCAGTGTCTGTTCCAAATGGTCACAACCTGAACTTTAATGCAACATCCATCCATCCATCCATCCATTATTTTTACCCGCTTCTTCCTTTTTAGGTCGTGGGGGTCACTGGTGCCCATATCTAGCAGTCACTGTGGGAGAGGTGGGGGACATCCTGAACAGGTCGCAAGTCCATCACAGGGACACATAGAGACAAATGAGACAAACAACCATTCACTCTCTCACTCCCATAGGGACAATTTAGAGTTACCAATCAGCCTAACATGCATGTTTTGGGTCTGTGGGAGGAAACTGGAGTACCCAGAGAAAACACACACATGCACAGAGAGAACATGCAAACTCCACCCAGAAAGGTCTCCAGCAAGGATTTGAACCTGTGACCTTCTTATTGAGAGGCGTCAGCTCTGCAACATGAATATATTTTAAATTATTTATTAGAATTTGCAGCAGAAAAAAAAAAAAAAACACGATTCCCTTTAAAACAAACAAGGAGGAGTTTTCAGTCAACTCAAATTATTTTTATTTAAGTCAAATCTAGGAAGATTTTAGTTATTGAGTTTAATAGATCCATTTTATATGCACAACTCAAAAGTGACAATAGTTACTTAAAGTTATGATCAACAGAATGAAAGTTTTTTTTTTTTTTTTTTTTTTTAAGTTGAGGAACAGATAGAATTGGTGAATATTTAGAAGTTTTTATTTAAGATTTTCTTTTTTAGATTGTGTTTTTTCAATGTATCTTTATTTATTTGTCACAAGATTTATTTATGTTTGTTCATCAGAATCTTTTATTTATTTTTTACATAAATGCATAATTTAATCTTTTTTACATTGTCATCTAGTGGTCACCTTCTGTAAGTGCATCCCAGAACAAACCATTCAACCATGAAGTAAATGTTTCCAGTTTCTCTGGTCTTTGCTCGTGACACAATAAAAGTCATATAAGTGACATCTAAACCTCATTATTAAAGTTTACATTAATTTGTTTGTGTGTGTTTACTTGATATTTTTCTGGGAAGAGACCTGACCAGTCTATTGGACATCACTTAACACTTAACAAAACTCTCATAATAATCAATGTTTTCCTGTTTATTTTTCTGTATGGTGTTTAATCTAACTACTTCTGCCTGCTTTGTTTAATTTTAGCTGTTTAAATATCAAAATTTTCAGCTCATACAGGATATACATATTTTTTTAATTTTGTGCTTTTTATTTTATTTTACTCAAATTACAAATATATTCCCATAAAATTACAATGAAATATGTTTAGTTATTTCAAAAACACTATTTACTTTTCAATCTGTTTAGCATGCTTTATTTATTTTTAGCTTATTGAGCTTTTTTTAATTTTTTTTTTTATTTTAGCCATCCTTCTGTTACATTTAGCAGGACGTTTGCTACTTTTGGCTAGGCTTTTGCTACCTTTAGCTCCTACTTTTAAGTTTTAAGCAGCGTTTAAAAAGTTAAAAACAAAAAGGATAGGAGATAGGATACTTGACAAGTGTAAGAATCAAATTCTGTAAGTTTACCCTGAAAATAAAGTTAATGTAAAATGTATGTAACCGTTTATAATTTGTTCTTGTCATAAGATGAGTAAACAAGGTGTATTGTTTTCACAGGAGTATCAATAATTTGTTCAAAATATGAAATGCAATAATGTACCTTACATATTCCCAGAACTTAAAAAAAACCCGTATGAACTGCATGAATGTCGGTAATAAATGTTTCGCGGTAGATGGCAGCACCTTCAAGTCTTTACCCAGGGTTTACCAACCGTTACGTCATAAAAACGCGACAGGCCACAGCAGCTCTGGAAATGAGTAAGTCTTTGTTATGGGCCGTGGTATTCAAGTCTTTTTGGGATAAATGCGAACTTTATTAGCGCTTTCATAGACTTTTGGATACATTTATCTTCAGACCGTGTTTTTTTTCAGCTGAAGGCCTCTCAGCGGCTCAATTTATTAGAAATATTTTCAGGCTAATGTTAGCGAGCGGAGGCTGAGCTGTTTTTATCGGAAGCAGCGTCAGGTAAACAGCTAATGAAGCTGATGCAATTAATAAATAAATTGACCCACCGCAGCTAGGCAACCTGTGCAGTGTAAATTAACGGATTAAACTTTATTAAAACGTCTGAATCCTCAGTAATGGCTTCCAGGAGGACCGGCTACACGGCAGCTAGCATGGATTCGTCTCCGGTCCACAACCGGAAACAAAGTATTAACAACCCCGACAGGATCGAGTCCTGCTATGATCGCAAAGCCCAGGGCAGCATGACCGTGACGTCACTCAAATCCCGTCTGGCTCCGACCATTCAGACTGCCATGTCCGCTGCTGTGGACACCCTGCTTGGTGAGGTGGTCCTGGTGCTGAACGAGACCCAGCAGGAGCTGCTGCACAAGGAGCAGGAGAACCAGAGGCTCAAGGTGCGGCTGGAGGTGTCCGAGAGGGAGCTGAAGACTCTGCAGGAGTGTCTGTGCAGTGCCCAGAAGCTCATAGACCAGCTGCAGGTGACCTACTCAGGACCCCAGGCCATCAACCAGTCCGTGTTCGCGCCTTCACTGTCCTCCATGGCTTCAATGACTGCAGGCCTGGACCAGGATCACCAGAACCCCAGGAGTGTGAACAGAGCTGGGGTGGACTTGGGTCTCGGTGGCTCCGTGGAGGACTCTATTCATGGGTTTGAACCACGAGAAGATTACAAAATGTGCCAGCTTTCGATCCAGCCGGATGGTTCTGTAACCAACCACGCTCTGGACTCGTTTGGATCCAACACGTCTCATATGTGCTCAGATTCCAGCAGACCAGGTAAATATATGAAAAAAAAAAACGTCTGTAAGTAACCTATGGTGTTCGTGTTTTACCACATTTCTGCCTCTGCTTACCACTTCTGTGTTCTGAAGATGACAGGCAGCCTCAGGGACCAGGGGGAGCTCCCAGATTTGAGATTAAGGAGGAGCAGGGACTAGTTTCTGGCTCTGCTCAGCCCAGCAGGAAGGACCCAGGCTTGCATACCGACAGTCAAGACGGAGAAGGATCATCTCTCACTGTTGGGGACATCGGTTATGGTCAAGTTGGAGATGAAGGCGGCTCCCAGCGCTCTTTCACTCACTCCCTGCGACACCAGAGACCGGTGCGTGAATGTAGCGGTGCCTTGCAGCAAGGTGGACTCGACGGACAGAAACCTTTGCTCAGGTCTTCAGGAGCGGGCAGGGGAGAAGGTGTTTCACCAGGCAGAGCAGAGGACTCTGCGGGGCCTTCTGCTCCTGACCTGGCAGGGGAGTCCTCCGCAGATCGCCCCCACCACTGCCTGGAGTGCGGAAAGACCTTCCGTCTGATCTCCAGCCTGAAGAAGCACATCCGCATCCACACGGGCGAGAAGCCGTACCCCTGTGGAGTCTGCGGCCGCCGCTTCCGCGAGTCGGGGGCGCTCAAAACCCATCTGCGCATCCACACGGGTGAGAAGCCGTACTCTTGCTCCGAGTGCGGGAACTGCTTCCGCCACCTGGACGGTTTGCGCAAGCATCGCCGCACGCACACGGGCGAGAAGCCGTACGTGTGCGCCATCTGCGGGAAGCGCCTGAGCCGCCTGCAGCACCTGAAGCACCACCAGCTCATCCACACCGGGGAGCGGCCGTGCTGCTGTCCCTTCTGCAACCGCACCTTCAAGGAGCCCGCGGCGCTCAGGAAGCACGTCCGCACGCACCGCGAGGAAGGCGGTCACTTGGGAATGGGCCCCAGTGAAGACACGGACCCGGACGCCCTGGACGACATGAACAACCTCCACCCCGCGGCTCCCTCTCCTCAGATGAGGTTTGGGGAGTGGGGGGCTGAGGAGGAGGACGGCTCGGCTGTGGACTGTGTGTAAACCTGGTTACAAACGGAAACTGTTGCCTTCGTGTTAAAAACGGTGAAAATGTTTTCATCTTTGTTCTGTGCTTTTATTTTAAATAGAAAAGCATCAAATGATCTCTGCACATTTCAGTGCATCTAAAGCAGCAGTGCCCGGGTTGTTCTTTTGGCCACTTTTTCATAAAACAAATAAAAAAAGATTGGAAATTAGGATCACACACAAGTGACTTTAAGACTCAAACAAAACCAGAGCCACAGCTGCTGTTTGACCGTTCCTGAAGTGGGTCTGTGACAGAACCAGGACTTCCTGGTTCAGACTGGCTCACGCTTCACAGAGAGAAACTAACCACATTCACTTACCGGACTTATTTCACTCTGATTTATGTTTAAAACCTCATTTTAAAACCGTTTTCTCAACATTTTTACTATTAAAAGTTATTTTTTAAGATGAAATAGGACAACTCAACTGTTTTTTTTTTTGTTTTTTTTTTTCAGTTTTATCAGGCTTATTTCTACAAAAGCAATATTTTTACTAGAGTTGTTATAAAATTACAAATGTACATTGTTTCAATTTGCAGCTTGTTCTGCCTTTATTATATTAATAATAATTTAAAAAGTTAATTTTATTGTGTTCATTAATTTTTTTCATTGTTTAATTAAATATCCAAACAGAATGTGCCAAACCTACAGGAACCTTCTGGACTCGAGCACGTAATTATTAATAATAATAATAAAGTAATAATTGTTTCTAAAAACGCCTTTTTTAGTCACTTGTTCTTTTATCGGGTTTAACTTTTATATTTCACCACTCGTGTCGTATCAAACGTCTGGACATGATTATTTGAGCTAAAGGATGAGATCCAGCTTTATTATAGTAAATTAAAATTTTTATTTGTTATGCCGTGAATCTTTTGATCCAAACTTGTTTTTAATGTAGCTTTTGTTTTTAAACCTTCAAATATAAAATAAGATGAACTCTAGTTGATTGCTAAAATCTGATCCTTAAATTTAAATTTATGGATGCTATAAATTTAAAAATGCGTTTGCAAACGTAGCTTCAGCTGTTTTCAAATTGAATCGGATCTAAAATGAGAAATAATTACAGAATCGCTTTAAAACACGTTTAGCTCCGTTTTCTTTCTGTGAAGCCCGAGCTCCTCTTTAACTCCAGTTAACGTCTTGACCTCATTTACCGTTTTTTGTTTTTAATCTTTCCACCTCCATACTCATAATATTACATGAATTGTTTAAAAATATCCATTTTTTTTCTGCTTTTACCAAAGTATTTTTCAGATTTATTGTTCTCCGATGGTACCCGAGCACATTTTATTGTGTATTTTCAGACCGTGCATTAACATTCCTGTTTTTATTTTAGGTCTGATGAAATAAATACTTTTTTTTAAAACAAATTACATCAACAAACTAGTTTTCCACATACATTCACATATTTGCTAATTTTTTGTTTTTATATTACTTTTTATCCATATTTGTGTAAATATAAAATGTAGTTATGTAGGTATTTTATTTGGGTTAAGGATGGACATTTTTGTAGAAAAAAAAAGTCCTTACCTAAAAACATGCTTTTCAGATTGAGTTTGTTAAAATACAGTGTAAATACACACAAACAGGCAAGCTGAACTCATTTCGTTATCTGTTTGAGCTTCTGTGTAACTTGACATGTAAACAAATATAATAACCTCACTGTACGCACGTACTATATTCACTGGTGTCCTCGTTGTACACAACACAAAGTGTAAAAATGTTCTGAATGCATCTTGCCTGAGTTGTCCTTGCTCCAAATAATTGTACTTATTTTGAGTTTTCTTCAGTCAGACCTCAGCATGCAGGTTAAAGAACGCTGTTACTCCTCAAAAAGGTAACAAATGTGAAATTAAGTTACTTTTTTAGTAGTAAAATGTACATATTCACATCCTGTTAGCTCCTGTACATGTTACTACAATAAAAAGCCTTGTTCGTACTCGTTCCCTGTTAATGTAGGTGAAGTTTTAAAGTGCGATGGCGGCTGAGAAGTTGTTTTCCACCTTTATGTCCTCGTTGGGAGAAAGTTTTGACAGCGACTGTCGAGTACTGTGTTCGAGAAACAATATGAGAATGTTTGTTCCCAAAACCCCAAAGTGTTTTCGTTAGAATCAAATCTGCACTGGTTTACGTCTGACATGCAGCTCGTAAACATCCTGATCCTGTCTCAGCGAGCTGGAGCTAAAAGAGCGAAAAGTTTGCGTCAAGATTTTGATGCCACACGGACATTCTCCTCTTTATGCCGTCGTAGATTTATGAGTCGATGCATCGCTCATAAAATAAAAAGGCAGCTTTGTAAAAATCAAATAACGTGATAATAAATACTGAAGACTAAAGTTAAAGATAAGCACAGGTGCAGATTTTCATATCAGGACATCATAAAAATAATCTGGTATTAAAGCAGGTTCTGAAATATCCTAATCTAACCTCAAGTGTCCAAAAATACAAACTCCACCGTAAAGAAATATTAATTTAACAAATAAAATAGGAACAGTGTGTAGAAAAACTACATTCCAAGATTTAATAATGATTAGATGAATTTTTAGCAGTGATACCTCTTCATAGTCCTGACAGACTTGTGCATGTGGTTGTGGAGGAACTTTGGCCCACTCTTTTGTTTACAACGTGTGTTGCGAGTGCTATCATCGAGTTTAGTGTGTGTGAATGTAATGTTTATAAATAGTGTCCAGGTAACGAGACGTGATTGCATGAAGGAACCCAAAGAGCTGGACGGTGATCGGCTCCCTGATGAGACGGTGGTGCTGCGTAAAGATGAGCTGCCAAAGTCGTGGCACCGGTTCTGCCCCGACCATTCACCCACTGCCGCATCAGACAACTCGCTGTAAACATCAAAGTTCATGCTCAACAATCCAGGTAAAAAATCCAACAAAGTTAAGTCAGGTCATCTGGATGGTTTCATTTTTGTTGAGACATTTCGTCCTTCATCCAAAGGACTTCATCAGTCCGAGGAGCCACAACAAACAGTCCCACAGGCAGCACACTCACATAGTGGGTCAAACAGTTTGCTGGTGATGAGCTAGTTTCTGGGGTCCACCCTCTCCCCCACCGACTCCTCTGAGGCAGCCATAGCCAAAGTGGTTCAAAACATGAAAGTTCATGCTCAATAATTTCTTCCAATATAATCTCAATAATAAGAGGGCGGGCCCCAGAAACCACCTTATCACCAGCTAACTGGTTGACTCACTATGCGTGTGTGCTGCTTGTGGGAATGAGTTTGGTTGTGGCTCCTCAAACTGATGAAGTCCTTTGGATGATATACCGATAGTCCTTTGGATGAAGGACAAAACATCTCAAAAACAAAAGAAACATCCAGATGACCTGACTGATCACAGTAAATGGTCTTGTGAGGAGTTTGTAGGAGTGGGTGGCCATTTAATTTAAGCTCTTTTCTTCCTCTTGTCCTGATAATTTACATTTTGCTCGTTCTTTTGGTCTGGGCGCAGCCTGGTGAGACTCCATTTTGCACAATGTATGTAGAAAACCACCGTCCTTCCACCCCCGTGTTTGATACTTAATATGAGGTGTGTGTGCTGATATTCTGAGTTTGGGTTTCTTCAAAACATCTGTATTTTGGTCTCATCTGTCCCGAGGACATTGTTCTTGAAGTCCTGGAGTTCGTTTAGAAGAAAATATTTGCAAACCGAAGTCGTGCCGCCTCATCCTTTTTAGAAAGAAGAGGCTTCTCCTGCAACCCTTCCAAACAAGCCGTATTTATTCAGTCTCCCGCTCTCTGTACGTTAATACACTGCCATGGGAGCTATAGGGTCTGAGGTTGAGCATTGCATGGTCTGCCCTTTGGGTGAATTTCCAGGGGCGTCCACTTGATGATCTTAAAGATTGTCGGCTTGTGAAAAACCTTTCACTGTATAACGAAGGACACCAAATTGTTTGAAACGTCCTGATGCATGCTCAATAATCCAGGTCGAAACATCTAAAAAAGTTAAATCTGGTCCTCTGGACATTCAAAAAGCATGTTTTTTTTTGTTTTTTTGAATGTCCAGAGGACCAGATTTAACATTTTTAGATGTTTGAAATGTCCTTTAACCCTGACTGGGACAGTTACTTCTCTTAAGTCATTGCTGATGCCTTTCCATCTTGGCGTCGTGTCAACGCACATACATTAGCTCAGCAACATCTGGCTGCTACTGCTAACCTGCACAGTTTGGAGAGTTTATTTACTAGACCTGAAATATGTTCTAAAAGAGGGTTTTTTTTCGTTTGTTTTAATAATTTAAATAAATCAAGTATGAGCAAAGGAGTTCTGGTGTAAGTTCTGGTCTTTTGTTCCTTTACATTAGTGATTTAAGGCGTGTCAGCCGACAGCAGTGTGGATGTAAACAAATGTAAGCACATTTTATGGCCAGCTGTCCTGCAGCTGTTGAGATGTTTAACCTAAAACCACAACTTTCATCCCTGCAGTGGAGCTAAAGGACAGTTAGTCGTCTATGTGGAGACGATACATGTCCATCAGAATACTGCAGCTTTTATATTGCTGGAATAAACGATAGAATCCACGGATCGATTTATTTCAGACGACTTGAATGTTTAAAGAAGAATTTCTCTCACATCTTCACTTTTACTGCGAGTCCGAAAATCAAGCCGAAGTCTTCAGTGTTCAGGAATTTCAGTGTCAAATTTGTTTAGGCAGCACATAAAAGACCATTAAATCTGACTAACGTGCTTCAAGACTTGAAGTGATGAAATACGGAACGTAAAGCCAATAATGCATCAAATGCAAAGAATGAGAAGAAAAGAAGAGTTGAATAGAATAAGCACGACTAAATACAACATTTCTATATGTGAGTTTTTAAACCAAAAAAAGATTATTAGGCCAGGTTTTTATTGACTACCACTGAAGACGAGGGGCGATAATGTTTTTGCCTGTATTTTGTAGTGTTAGCAAAATATCTTGAGGACCAGATGATGGCTTTTAATGAAACTCAGAAAGGAATCATTAAATGTGCGTCGACACTTTTGGCGTCAACCCCATTCAAAATGTCTGCCACAGCTGAGCAACCTTAGCAAACACGGCACTGACTCCGCCAGTTGAACAAATACTGAGCGAACATTTGATGTGGTAGTGGAGAGTTATTCCCAACACATAATCTGAGCGCTAATTGACCTGTTACCT